AGGGTTTGGAGCGGGGCATTCCCACAATCGAGAAAATGCATGTAAAGTGTTTTTGGCCCTCCCTTTGTACCAGAGAAGAAGTCTGAATTTTTTTTTCTTTTCTTTTATGGAGTCTTTACAGTACCTCATTATAAAATTTGGCTTAACTATTTGGTCATAGGCTATATGCCATTTGCTGGCTTTCGAGTGTCATCTGTAGCTTCTGAAAAACTCCTCCCAAATTCCCATTTAATTTCTTATGCTGACCCATGAGATATCAAAAGTGCAATGAGGAAGGTCGCAATGTGGAAGGGATGTTGTAAATATGCCCAAGAATTTGCTTGTATCTGCTCAAAAGTCATTCGATAAATTTTCACTGTGAGCATTTACATCTAAGAAATAGGTAAATACCAGAAACTGGAACTTGATTTATTGTTTCCTTAGTTGAACAGACAATAAAATGATGAAGAAAATGTTAATACTACAAATTAAACTTAAAAGTATGTTGTGCTACTTCTTCCCCCCCCCATTCCAATGGGACCTGGTAGTTAAACAATTATCCTCATATTCCTATCTTAGATTTTTTTTCACATTTGTCTTCGCATCTCCAACAGTTAAGATGGTGCCTGATACATGGTAGGAATAGGAATGAGCTCAGGACCCTTGATTTCATTGCTGTAGGGAAATCCCAGGTGAGGAATGGGATTGACATTTAGTAAATGTTGGTTAATTGGTTAATCAATTGATTGATCCTTTCTAACATTTTACAAATGAGTTTGTATTCTGAGCCACTGATGCCCTTGGCTACCATTTTTCTCTGCCTGGCAAGAAGATTAAATGCTTGCTTACCAAGGAGGTTTCTAGGCTCTTATGCCTCTTTCATGTGATGACCTTTACATCTATTAAAATTTTATAGGAAATGGTGACAGCCAAGGTCATTATCTTTGCCATTTATTCATTTTTCACTTTTGTTATGAATAAAGTGCTTAAAAAAAAAAAACTTAAGCCACTATATCATTTTATCCTATAGTCCAGATTTCCTTTTCCTCCCCTCGCTTCCAAAACTTTAGGCCAATGTGGATCCATGTCTAATCCTAGGAACAGACTTCAAGAGAAGAATTTACTATTTTTGTCTTATTTCCACCAGCTGGAATTGATCTGGGAAATTTTCTTAATATATTCAGGCAAGTCTACGTCTGTTTTTCCCAAATTGGCAAATGAAGTTCCTAGCTCCCCCATAAGCACTAAGGATACTAAACACACACCAAGTACAATGCAACTTTTATTTCATCCCATACAAACGCAAAGACATAAAGATCCCGTAACAGTCCAAACACAGGGGCAGAAAATAACATTTATTGTTGTTCAGTTGTTTCAGTCATGTCTGACTCTAGGTGACCCCATTTGGGGTTTTCTTGACAAGGTTACTGGAGTGATTTGCCATTTCGTTCTCCAGCTCATTTTGCAGATGACAAACTGAGCAGGGTTAAGTGACTTGCCCCGGGTCACACAGCTAGTCAGACTCTAAGGATGGAGTTGAACTCAGATCTTTCTGACTTCAGGCCCTGCACTCTATCCACTGCACCACTTAGCTGCCCCATGAAAATACATATGGCACTCAAAGAGCCAATCAGTTGTGACAGTGACTACCCTTTAACATGCTAGTAAAATAACTTTTTTCCCTAATCCTATACAGCCTTCCCAAGACTCAGTACTAACCTGTAGTTCACACCCTTCCAAGTAGCTCATCATTTTTTTTTTTAACTCACTGAATAGTGCTCTGAACTGGAATAATGAAAGTGATCCTTACATTCTCAAGGAATATTCTACATCAGGAAATCCCCTTCCTTTTTTGAAGATCCAATTTCTGAAATCTCCAATTTAGGAGGAATCACATGAGAGCTCTCCATTCAGTTCTTACTCTTACCTCTCTCCTTTCTAATCTTGTGCGCCTTTCATAGTACCTCACAGTGTATGTTCAATAAATGCTTGCTAGATAGAACTGAAGCTCTGGTATATCCCATTCCTTCCATAAAATTTGTTAACGCTCCTTGCACCTAAATATATTGATATCAATATCTATATCTACAACTGAATCTGTATCTATCTCTATATATGTATATGTTTTTGTGTATATTATGGATGTTATGAAAAATTCCTCTTCCTGTTATTTTGTAGGACTAATCAGAAGGCCACTTGTACCATCTTCTAGCTTGGAGGGGTATGAATTTCGATGGGATTAAAAGAAGTAACAAGGGGCAGCTAGGTGGCGCAATGGAGTCAGGAGGACCTGAATTCAAATCCAGCCTCAGACACAAAATGCTCACTAGCTGTGTGACCCTGGGCAAGTCACTTAACCCCACTGTCTAGACAAAAAAAAAAAGAGTAACAAAAGCATCAATTTAATACACATATATTTAATAGAAAATTTAATTTCCTTGAAAGCAAGATCTGTGCCATTTTTGCTTTATGGCTTCAGCATCCTGTGCAAAGTAAATATTCACTAAGTATTTGTAAAATTCATCAGGGTGAGAGTTAGCATTAAGACTGAAATAGAGAGTTGGAGAAGAATACTTTTTATGAAAATACGGAAACTAGTACATCTTTGGCAGGTCTTAAAAAGAGAACAATGGCTTACTGACAATAAGTAATAGTTTATAGGCAGAAAACA